TGTTTACCAGAATGCGAACACAAACCCTCCCGTTCCAGGAGTGTTGAAGAATTAGCCTCAACATGTGCAGCATCTTCAGCACAGTGCGGAGCCTATTGCTCAGTAAACCCAGCTGCTATTACTCAGCTCCGCTTACAGCGGCAATTGAAATCCTTCCAGATTCACTTGAAGGGACCTCCTTCCGTTCCTCCTGCTCCTTCAAAATTTGGAAAGTTCTCAACACCAAAGCTGCCTGCTTTCCTGGGAGTCTCATAATTAGGAAGAGTGCTTAATTGGCATGTTTGCTCCTCCAAGGAGAGGTTGGCACGGGAGCTTCATGGCAACATAGAAAGTTCAAGTTGCTTTTGTTCTTGGCAGCACTGGGTGCCCATAGCAACAGCAGGTGGATCCAACAAAGTTGAAAAGAAAAAGTAGCAGAGTTCTCATGAGGGTTGATCGCCCTAGAGAAGTTGACACAATCACACAGATGGAAATGATTGTCCTGGGTCATGAAAATGCGGTCTTCGATGTCCCAAATGCAAACCGTGTCTCTTGTTTTCTTTAAGATCAGGAGCCTGGTCAAGAGGTCTGTGTAATGAAAGATGCTTGTCAAATCCATTTCCATTCTGCCTGAAGCCATCTGCTTTATGTCTGTAATAAACAGGATGTTTGCAGCCCTGTTCCAGAGCCGGCCATCGGAGGCACTCACTGCAGGGAAGGGGAAATTGACAGCCTCCCAAGCAATGAACGTTAGCACATTACATCCGCGGTGGCTCTTAACCTGCCTGTCTTGCTTTCCTTTGTGTCTCAGTGAGGGCCTGTGACAAGCCACCATAGTGCACATGCTGAGTTAGAATTGAGTCCATGTACAATATTGTCCAGCATCACATTACCTGACAAGCGGGGTCAGATATGCGCAGCAGAAAAAGGCCATCCGCCTGGATATGGGAACCACCTGACCTTCACCAGGTGGGAGAACCAGGACCTGGTAGCATCATTCCAAGAGCCCCGATGGACTTCCCAGAAGCACACCAACCCTCTGAAACTGACATCTGAACAAGTCATGCCCAGGTTTAAAATCCTGCAGCTATTCCTCCTTGCCAGTAAGATAAAGTCTACACTCCACAGGTCCCTAGGCCTGCAGGGTCTTCTGCCTCTGCATCCCATGTTGAGCCCTCACATCAGCTCACACCTGCACGGGAGCCATGCTGGCACCTGTTCCTTCCCTGCCTTCTGCCCTGTTGTGGATTCTAGTCCTGCATAGTGCCATGTGCCTGCCTCGCACACTGCATCCTCCTCCTTGCGGCTGGGTTCCTGTCCCTTCTACCCCTGCTCACAGCTCATGAGAAAGCTCTATACAGTGAGTGGGTGAATTTCCTATGGCTGCTGTGGCAAATTATCATGAACAGTAGTTCTAGAGGTCAGAATTGTACTAGCAAAGTATTGGCAGGTCTGGAGCACCTCTGTCCTCTCTGGGGGCATCTGGAGGTCACTTCCCGTCCTCCCTTCCTAGTGACTGACTCCCTGCTTGGCCATTGTTCCATCCTACATCATCTCTTTTCATCTGTTCAAGCCTTCTGCCTCCCTTGTATAAGACCTGCCCTGATAAAACTGCATAATTAAGATTCTCTTCTCATTTTGTGGCCTTTTATTTAATCTCATCTGCAAAATCCCTTGTACCATGTAACACAACATATGTCCAGGTTTCATATATTATGATTTGAACATCTGGGGACTGTTATTCTGCCTCTCACAGTGAGCTATTAAGCTCCTCATCCTACTGATCATGCATGATGAAGTGTCTCTCCCAAGGATGACTGGAAGCTCTGTGAAGACAGGGGCCACATCTGCTTTGCCTTCTGTTGTATCTCAGTACCCAGAGGTTGATACATCAGTAGATGCTTAATAGACAGTTGTCAGGTGGGTACATGGAAGATGGAGTGGCTGGCCATGGTGTGGAAACTGGACAGCCTTAAAACTTGCAGTGGTGCCTCCTCAAAAGGGCAGGACAGCACTTAGGAAGAATAATCTGGGATGAACTGGTTGGACTCTGTCAAGGCACAGTGATCACCATCAATTTGCGCTTATCTAGCACAGAGGAGTGACCCTAAGATCAATATACAGGAGACCACTATCTTTATTGATGGGATCATTATGCTAAAAATGGCAGAACAGGACAGATTTCTTGTTTGATTTCAGTCAGAGTCCCTTGTAAGGGAGCTAACTAGGAGAAGACTTTGGTGTCTCTAATAGGTCAGTAAGCTGTTTCTGTCTCCGGAAGGCCCAGCTCATCAACAGTTTGCAACAAAACAACACAACAGAAACCATGTGACAAAATCATTGGCCAGGGACAGTCACCCACACTGGTCCTCCATGCGTTTCCCAAGTCCCTGTGATGCGCTGGGCACAGTACTGTGAAGTAAGGGATGGAAATGAGAAGGAACCACCATCTAGGACCCACCTTCCAGGGAGGATTTGATGGTCCTGTGGCTGATAAGAAAGTATAAATGCTCACAGGCATAACATTGGTGCAGTGGAAGGGGCATAGGCAAATACTCCCAGGAGAGCACCTTTAAGCTCCATCCACGGACGGGTGAGGAAGGCATTTCAGGAGTCCTAACCTCATTTCAGAATCAGAAGGTTGTATTTAAAGGGTAAATGAACATTCTCCAACTGACTGTAAGGTGGGAGGTCATAAACTGGGGCGGGGGGGACGACCAGAGGGAGCATCTGCCCTATCCTCGGTTAATGATGAATTCCAGGAAGGAATTCTCAAGGTGTTAAATCCTCCAGTAGACATTATTGCTCAGTCTGCAGGCCTCTGCAGAGTGCCTATCAATGAGCAGTCTTTTTAATCACAGACATCTCCCACACTTACTCATCCCACTAGAGATGATTAGACAGTAAGGACAGGTGGGTCTTTTATCATATGCATCTTACCTTGTGTCTGATGAGGCTTGCTCCCAAACCACAACCCTATTTATTCTCCTGGAGTGAGTTCATTTCAACCTGATCATTGTCTTTCTCTGAGTTCGCTTGGGATGCTGCTGAACTGAAGCAAGGAACGAGAAACAAGGGGTATAGGTGTCACTAAGCCAACAGGAGGACCAAGGGCAGCTGGCCATGTGCCGGCTGTGTCCTCGCACCTGAGATGGGGGTGACATAGTCACTGCTGGAGCGGTACAGCTCAGTATGCCCATGGAAAGAGAAGACAAAGAAGAAAGGCCCTTAATGAAGTCATTTGTCCGCCTCAACATGGCACTCTCTTGCCATTGATGCCCCTCGCAAACAAATGTTTTAATTTGCCTTTGGAAAAATGAGCCAAAACTCCAGGCTACCTGAGACACTGCAGTTACATGTTTTAGTGGCTCCAAATATTTACATTTTGTCAAAATGGAAGTAGGAGATTGACTGCGAGGTGGCTGTGAAAACTAGACTTCCTCCTAGGCACCCTCAGCGGGCTGCTCTTGGGAACAGCTGCTGCACTTGGGGATATCTCATTCAGCCACCCCACCCCCTGGGATGAAGCCAGCAACAGTTTCTAGCCAGCTTGCTTTGCACACAGTAAGGGTGTTCTTGCTGCCTTAAAGGAAGCTTGAAGAGCCCAGCTGTGCTACACCTGGGCTGGGAGGCTGCGTCTTCATAGCTACCTCAGAATATATCAGAAACAACTCTGCTGCATTGCAGAGCACCTCAAGCCTTCTCTCCTCCAAGAAGCAGGTCCCTTGGCTGGCTGGCAGAGCCCTGCTTCAGTCAGCACCCAGCCCTGCTCCAGGTCTGACTCTATGCTTGTTAAAGAAAACTCCAGTTCTCACAAGCCACACTACCCATGAAGCATACTGAGCATGTTTTTCAGTGTGGCAGGGCTGCGTTCCTTTCATAGAAGCAAGTTGCTAGCTCCAGCTCAAGGGCTGGAGTATCACAAGTGAATGCCAGGAGCAAAGATAATTGAGAGCACTCTCCACGTAGCCTTTCACAGATGTGTGGTTATCTCCTTCTTCTCCCTTGGCATGATCTAGTTACAGTACCATCATCATCATCTTACAGATGAGGAAAATGACACTCAAAGGGGGGCTGCGATTTGCCCTTGATCTTCTACCACTCTACCAGGAGTCAGAGTGAGGCCTGCCCAGGTGGAGTGTCCCTCACCAATTCCAGGGCAGCGTAGCCAGAGGCAAGAGAGCTAGTCTGCAGCTGGCCCTCAGCCAAGATTGCCTTCTCTCCTTTAGCCATACCTTGGTCATGAAAACCACAGAGTGGGAGGCTGGAGGCTGGCTGCGTACCTCAGACTTCTTGGGTCCCAGAAAGGTGTAACGAATAAAATCAGGCTAAAGAATTTGGAGGTAAAGAGATACTGTGTCTACCTCTTTACTTGAAAACACTTTAGGGAAAAAAGGACTTGTATCTGTGCGTGTGTGTGTGTGTGTGTGTGTGTGTGTGTGTGTGTGTGTCTGAGAGGGAGAGAGAGGGAGAGAGAATGTTGAAGCAGCTATGGTAGAATGTTGGTATTATTTAGGGAATATAAGTAAAGAGTATATCACAATTCCCCGTACAAATTGCAGCTCTTCTTAAAATTTTGACTATTTCAAAATAAAAAGGTTTTTAGACATGCCAGTCCACCTTGGAATCTCATGAGTTCTATGTAGACTCTCAAAGGTGACATTATGGGATGCGTGCAGACCTCCTTTAGACCCCAAGGTGGCCCAGGAGAGTGCGGAAGAGTGTAAGGAGGACAGCATGGGCCCCGAGTTTGGGCTGCTTGGGTCCATCCCTTACCCAGCAGTTCTCAAGGTCCCTAAGCTGCATGTACCACTCAGGCTGACTGAAGGTTAGAGAGAAGGCATTTGCCTTGATGTAGCACTTGGCACAGGCCTGGTCTGTGGTAAACTCTCCATGAAAGTTACTGTTAGTGCCTCCTTGGTCAGCTTGCAGGGAAGGGCTGATGTCTGTGTGTGATTTAGACACTGATCTGGACAACTATCTCCACGCCAACTCCCTGACATGAGTTTTGTCCTTATAAGACAGGGTGGCCACTGCAGTAGGTGTGGATGTGTGTGACAAGATGAAGAACCGAATCCCTGTGGTGCTTCTGGCCTGTGGCTCCTTCAACCCCATCACCAATATGCACCTGCGCTTGTTTGAAGTGGCCAGAGATCACCTACACCAAACAGGTCAGTGCTGCAGGGCTGGTGGGTTGGACCTCATAGGGCTTGGAGAGTGGTGTCAGTGTCACCATTAGTAAAACTTCTAGGTTGATTCATTTACCACAGAAGTTGTGGTCTGCATCTCCTCCATCTTTAGCAGAGGGCTCATGCCCCTTAGCTGGTATGTGGAGATCCATCCCTGGCCTAGAATTGAAATGTCTTAAGGTCTCTACTCCTTGCCCATCTAACATTGTCCTTGAATACTACGAGGACACTGGGTAGTCTGTGGAACTGTGCTCCAACTGAGGCCTCCTTGAAACTCCCAATTTTACTCACACAGCAAGGGATAGGGAGGTGCAAGCCTTTGAAAGCTCTTGCTTCTAAGCAAATGTTCAATATGGGAATGTGACATCTTTCCCTGTAACAAATTATTTTCCTTTCTTTCAATATGGGAAAGAATATATCTTTCCCTGTAACAAATTATATTTTATGTATTCAAAAATACATCTCATGTATGCTTTATGGATTCATAAATGTGTTTTGTATTATTGTGTTGGTCAAAAATGTTTGCCTTTAAAGGCATTTTTTATACCAGAATCAGTTTCTATTTAGTTTTAATACAGAAAAATGTTTTTAGTAACATGTCAGCCATTTAGCCATTTCGTCACAGAAAT